AATATAAATAACTCATCTAAATTTAAAATATAACTTATATGATTTAAATTATTTAACTATATATATATATATATATATATATGTATATATTCAAATAGATTATTTATTTGTTTATACAATTTATTATAATTTTTTGTTATATATAATAAATATTTAACGGCTACAATACTGGAGTTGCTTATAATTAGAAGAAATGATATTGGATCCTTTTGTTCAAACTTCTAAACAAGTGTTTTTAAAAAAATTTACTTTACAAACAGATAGGAATTGTTTCTTAAAAAAAATAGAAAACTACTTATTTTTAAAATTAAAAAAAAAAGTTTAGACAAATACAAACAATAAATAAACAAAAATGCGTATTTAGTATGTGCATTAAATATTTATTATATAATTAGAATTTAAAATAAATATTATATTAAAATATATATATTTTAAATTTGAATAAATAAATATTTTTGAATATATAAAGTATATTTCATATTTAGGATAAATAATCGATACCTATATATTAAATACAAATATGTACCTTTTACAAGAGTGTTTTCAGACTTCAAGGAAAGAATTTTTAGAATTTTTTTAATTTCTTATCTAATTTCTTATTGATAAATAAAAATAATAACTTTTATAATATAAATTATTTATCATAATTTTATAATATAATTTATAGCTTTAAAATATCTATTTATACAAATTTGAAACATGATTCATACATTCAAACATATCATTTATTTGTACATATAATTTATTATAAATTTTAGTAAAATATTATTTTGTTGGTTACATTGTATTTTTAATTTATCTATTTCATCACTTTGTAATTTTTGTCCTTTTATTTGAAAATAGAAGCATTTAATTTCTCTAATTTTAGAAATACAAAATTTTGATTGTCCTATCAAATTAATATCTATTATTTGTTATATTTTAACATTTTATTTATATCTAAGTGTATGTCACATTTAGTAAAATAAAATATATATTGTATTAGTATGATGTTATTCATCTAATTAATAGGTGTGAGACCCGCAACACCCAAACTCTTTTCTTACTCACTTCCCTTTTCTCTCTTCACTCTCATTTCCTCTCATTCTCTTTTTCCTTTTCTCAAACCTCCTTATGGTGACTGTTGTGATCGTAGGTGCTCAGTAGCTGAGAGCTCTGACTCCTCTTTCCATTTATCTTCTTCTCCTCCTCTTCTCCGGGAGTTCAGATTCTTCTTCTCCGAGGTAAGGGAAGTTAGTTTTCGTGCGGATTGGTTGTAAATGAGTGTGGGAACTCAAATGTTGCATGATTTTAGAAGATTGATGGTTGGATTGGAGAGTTCTTTGTTTTCGGGGTTTTGGGAAAATTGGGAAAATGGGGATGCTTATGTGTTTGATGGTTTCATGTTGAAAAAGAGATGGCTTTTGAGTTGCATGTTGTAAATGTAGTTCATTTGATGGATTGCATGTGTTTGAGTTGACTGATTTTGCAAGTTTTGCGTGAAATTTTCGAAATGGTGAGGGTTACTGTTTGAAATTGTGTCGAGCGTAGTTCTTGGCACCGGGCGTGTGTCCATCAGAGAGCTTCATTGTTCAAGCACGTCGGGCGCAAGGTTAGTTGCACCAGGTGAGCTTGGGAATGGAAGTCCATGGATGGCTCACGCCAGGCGTGGGGAGAACCGCACTAGACGTGATATCAGATAGGGACTCAAAGAGTTGAGTTACTGGCATGGCGTTGGGCGTGATTAGATCTCGCTGGGCGTGATTAGATCTTGCCGGGCGTGATTAGATTTCGTCGGGCGTCGAGACTCCATGAGGGTCTCTACCTAGGGTGGCGTCGGGCGCAGAATGAGCGCCCCGGGTGTGAGACCTTGATGAGGTCTCTGCCTTACTTGCGCCAAACGTGAGTTTGGTACGCTGGGCTTGGGAGACTCCTGGGAGTCTCTACCTCCTAATTGCGTTGGGCATAATTGGAATTGCGTCAGGTGTGTAAGAGCTTTAGAGCTCTCGGGTTGGGTCCAGGCTGGGCGCAAATCCTATTGCGTTGGGCGTGGAGATGTCTTACCCTATAACTCTGAAAATGCTGAATGTTGTTTATGCTGATTAATGATGTTAAGATGAGCTGTGTTGTATGTTGTTTATGCTGATTAATGATGTTAAGCTGAGCTGGCTGTTAATGCTGTTAAGTTGAGCTGTGCTGAATGTTGAACATGCTGTTTAAATTGTTGAGTTGTGTTGTTGAATGTGAGCTGTTGATCACTAGGACTAGAGGAGATGTTTTTGAAGTTGTTCATCCCATTGTGTGGATTGAGGAAGCTGTGGTGCTCTCAGAGCCCAATTTGTTGAAAACCCTCCTTGGGAAGTTGTTCCTTGGAGTGGTCATTGTGTTGTTCTCCTCTAGTAATTAGTTGGTCCCGTGTGTTGCTTTTGGTTTAAAATTTGCTAGACGTTTCCGCAACAGTGGACATACAAGAACCATTGAAGGATTCTCATTGGGATGAATGTAGTATGGACATGTGGGGTCTTTCATGTCCTCCAAAGTAAAGTTGATATCCATGAGGCTGATGAAGATGTCCAGCAGAGAATTGTATTATTTAAAGAGAGCTCTGATACCATAACAAGTTTTAAAGAAAAGGAAAAGATAGAGAGGGAGAACCGAAAGGAAGAGAAATGTATTATGAAAAAGGTTGGATACAAGAGAGAAAAAAAACAACTATTTATACAAAACAGAAAATAAAACTAAACTAATACTTAAAACAGAAAACTAACAGAAACTAAAAATACAGAAAAAAAAACTAACTAACTAATTTGGTGTTATTATCGTCCATGTGGACTTGATGTAACATGCATAATTAAGAGGTAATTTTATTAGTCTTGCATCATAAATATAATTGTTTTGAACTAGACATCGATTTTAGAAGGTTGCTGGAATTTTATTGTGAAAATTACAATTTTTCATTGTCTCTGTAGCTCTTTCAAAAGTTGCTTAGTAAGTTGAAAGATGAAGCTGATCAAATATGTCAAGCTCCAGGTATTTTCCGTAGCTATATATTGTTTGGTTTGTTTGGCATTTGAATCATAATCTACTGTTAATGAGTAGCTACCCTTCTATATTAACTAAATATTGGTGTCTACTAATTAATATTTTTCCCCGCATTAATTTATTGTGTTGTTATGCAGCGATGACTTCGGATCCCAAACTTGAGGTATTTGTTAGCAAACATTGTATATCATCTAAGAGATCTATTTCTAGCTTTAATTAATTAATGTTATAAGTGTTCCACTGGTCGTTCTATGCGAGCTCCAGGAGGTTCGAAGAGATATTTTTATTTGCAATTCTCAATTGAAAGAGATGGAGAAGCGACTACGGTTCCTTTGACTTTGTATTACTTGCAACTAATCATCAATTAAATCAAAACTAAATTATGTTATGTTGATGAAGAATATAGCATGTTCACTGATGTTTCACATTATTTTTAAGATATTTGAAGGTGATCCTTATTCTGAGATCAAAACGCTTAGCGAGGCGAAACATCGTGAATATGTCCTTCGGGAAACTCTAAAGCAAGTGCAACTCCGAACAGTAAGTCTATATGCTTAAGTACAGTCAAGGTAGTCGCATACAACAAACTTACTACTGTTATTATTTTTGTGTGCAACATACAAATTAAATGAGTTAATCAATGGTGTGAAATGTATTAAAATTGAAAGACAACTTACAATTTTTCTTGAACAGTGTGATTTGGAGGAGTGTACAATTCTGAAGCCCCTCATTCACCATAGGTATATACAACGATATGATTAAGAAGTTTGTTCAATCACCATCACACTTGAGTTTCTCCCCCATTTTTGTGTGTATAAATGGTGGATGAATTTTTAAGAGATCTAAAATAACTTTGATGTTATCATAGAACGTGAATTTAAATTGGATCTAATTTAACATTATAAAATTGATTTATAAATTAAGAATTATTTTTTATTTATATACTGTTTATTTGTAGTTAATGGGGAATTTAAGTTTTTCTTTATAATTGTCCAGGTAATTAAAGATATTTTGGGAATTGTTCTCACCTGAGATTGGACCGGTGACGATCTCTTTGATGAGATTGGTGAGCCTCCACTGGTTCGCAGGTTGGCCCCTTCAAGATGGGGGTGATACCTGCAAAAGAGACTCTGATGCTTAAGTTAGTACTTGATAGTGTAAATGTCTCGTATATATAGCAGACGTACCTTGATGATTTTAGGGTTTTTATTGTCTACCGGCACATTGACAATTTTATGGTTTTATCTTGTGATTGCGGCACGGTGACGAGATTATATTTTTATCTTTTTAATGACGTGACCTCTTTGGGCCGATATGATATTTCGATGTCTATATTTCGTGGCCGAGCTTAGTAGCTCGACAATAATGAATTCACTACTTGGTCAAGTTGGTAAACCTTTGACCGAGTTTGACAACTTGATAAGGGTCAAGTTCATAACTCGGCTAGGCCATTACAAGAATGTTTATGATCATGCTCCCTTTAGGTACTTTCTATTGGCATCTATCCATATTTGTCGTCAGTCCCTACTAAATTTGCGTCATATTGTTTACCTCTCCTTTCTGCACATCTCAGGGATCAAGAATCACATAGCACGGTTGTATGTTAACACCAACTTGGACCCTTCTGCATCAGGATGGTCAAATGAGTCCAAGGGATAGGGTGGAGATTGGCATCAACAATACATCGAGTCCTCACTCCTCAGTTTGGACAAGCTATTCACGACAATTCATCCTCTTGGGAGCACCTTCATCCTTTTGGTACTTACTGGTGTTAGATTATGTAGCTTTGATGGCCCTCTATAGGCTTTTTTGTGTATTTTTGTTTTTTATTTTATTTTAAGGGTAATTTAGTTATCTTGCTTTATCTATATTTACTCACTACTTACTTGCAATTGTTTTGGTTTATGTAATACACATCCTCCCTATTCTCGATTTTCTCTTTTCTTAATACTCCTAATAACTGGAAGGTTAAATTACTATCAATTGGACCCGTCTAATTTATTAAAAATTTGGAAGTAAGTCTCTAAATTAAAATAGTTTCTTATTGGTCCTTGACTATGTTAATGTTAAGTTTCCAGAGGATGAACGCCAAGTTAAGAGCTCCTTATCAAACTTCTAAGACAAAGCACTTCAATCTAACCACTCAAACCAACATATACATCCAAGATCAACATAACTACATTTAGGTCAGTTTAGTCACGATGAACAACCTGTGTAGGATTACAACTTTCTATCTCTTAAATCTCACTATGAAAGCGAATTTTTTTATCGGATTTAATATTTTGTGTCTGCGTATTCTACGTCCATTATATCGTTTAGCTATTCAGATTCCAAACTTGAGGTATTTGTTAACAAACATTTAATAGACCTATTTCCAACTTTCAATTTTTGTTGTGTTGACAGATTGTTCTATGCGAGCTTAAGGAGGTTCGAAGATAAACTTTTATGTTGCAGTCTCAATTGGAGGAGATGGAGAAGCTACTAACCGCTAACGTTCCTTTGACTTAATTATTGCTTACAATTTATCATCAATTAAATCAAAAACCAAAGCCAAATTATGGTATGTTGGTGGGGGAATATAGCATGTTCACCATTGTTTCACACTGTTTTCAGGATATTTTAAATATTATCCTTTTGAAACCACATCGCTTAGCAAGGCTGAATGTTGTGAATGTGTCCTTTCAGGATATTTGCTTAATTATCGTCACCAGTAACCACAAAAATAAATTTATTACTGCTGTTATTTTTATGTACGTTATAAACGTTATAATCAATGATATGTATTTCACTCATTTTCAAGTCATATATTTCACATTCAGTTTTAAATGGCTAAACATATACATACACAATACACAACTAAGGAAGCCATATACCCAATTCTGGAAGTGTTTACCAACTTGCTTATTATGGATACGATTAAAGGACATGACAAATAACGAAAAATTGATACCTTAATAACAAAAATGCATGTTGTTTTTAGTTGACAAAACATACACAAATCAAGCTATACATGATCCTAAAGCCAGCGAGCAACTAGCTTTCACACCAACTGTTTAGGGGCTGACCCAGAAAAATTTACATTGTCATTCTGAAGAGATACATTAACGTCATTGATTGAAGGTCAGTTGAGTTGTACAATGCACAGGCTGCAAATTAGTTAATAATATCAACTTTACACTAGCTAAACAAAATCTAGAGTGTCCTGACCGCAACTTTTTAGACAATCAAGTTGATCGCAATTTACCATATAACATCTATAACTGAAACTCTGCATTGAAATGACTTCATAATGAAGTCATTTAACAAATACTTGTGAGCATGTTCTATCCAAGTACGTCATTCTTCAAATAGATAATTAGGTAAAAGTGGTGGCGCTGGCACGTTTGCTACATACTTAAACTGATATAGCATAAAGAACTCAAGTCATTCAACTAGTCATAATTGAAGACAGAGCAATACAAGTAAAATAAATCACCTTGTGCTGCCTGTATTTCTGCCGAATAGCTTGGAAAGACCCTCCCCTCCTTGCCATGTACAAGTCATGTAAGATGAGGACACACTCCTTTAACTCAATTGATTTATACCGAGAGCATTCATACAGGGCCGGAGTCTGTTAAAACCAAAGGGTATTAAATCACAATTTAAATTGTAAACTGCCAAGCTTACCTTTTTACATCATGACTCATAATACATTATTAAATAATAAGATTTAGAAATAACGAAAAAACTTCAACTATATCATAGATGATATACAGTGTTTGATGTAATAATTTAAAATTAAAAATAAATAAAACTTGACCATAAATTTCATAAAAAAATTATTAGTTATATCTATTTGGAAAACTTCTGTTTAAAATAATGAAAACTAAACATTGAAAAAACCAAATAAAATGCACACATTAAATGAGTAAAAAATAAAATAGTGAAATAATCAAATAAAAATAAGTTCAAAATACTCCTTTAATTCCTTTTCGTTTATAATTTGAGTTTATGGCATTTTAATTTGTTCCATAAGAACTAGCAAAAGAAAAATAAAAATAAATATCACTATTAAATTATGTAATTTATAACAATGATACAAAATTGAACCCATTCGTTCATGTAAAATATTAAAATTTTGAAGATTCGTCTAACAGTATGAATCAACAAATTACTTACCTTTATGGAGAAGTGCTACAATTTTGAATTATGAGCTTCTAAATATAACTATGTATATTGCAACTATATCAATGCCTTGGACTACAAGTCTTAGTTTGACAATTCTATTATACAAAGGGTGAGTTGTTACCCAAGGTTGCAGATCGGGCCAAATGATAAATCTAGCAAGAAATACAACCGAGGCAGCCACCAAAGAAGGTAAGAACTTCAGACAATAATACTCCAACAAACTTAGCTCGGCAAGATAATAACTCATAAACTCAAATTGCAAACTCGAAGCCTGAAAGTAGAAAATGACAAACAACAATTAGTAAACTTAACAAAAGTGTATGACAAAATCGAAGAATGTAGAAACCAATCAAACCCACCTTTTTATTCTCACAAGCAATTCCAGTAAACCTCCTGCATACACACAATTAGTCCATTGTCATTTCAATTTTAGTTGGGGTTTCATATTAACAATAATAAATAAATAAAACGAATCAATAATACCTTAGAAAGGTCTTAACAGTGGGGTTACCCATTTCAAAATCCAAGGCCTTGAGTATCTCCCCTTCCATACTTATCACCTTACATTGTAAACAACAACAAAAACCAAAAGAGTCCCTTCAACAAAATGGAGTTATCTAATTCAACACAACAACATAATTCCAAGGCTACAAGAACAGTACCTCTGCCTTGTCATACGTGTTGTCAGTGATAAAGCAGAATTCTTCCACATGCGGCGGGCTGATCTCCTCATACTTCCTGTATGTTAAAAAGAAACATAATTGTGATGCTTATCACATTAATGCCCTGTTTGATTCCGTGAAAGTGAAGGAACTGTATTTTTTTTAGGTATTTGGTTGACTGAAAGTAGTGTGCAGAATTTGTATGGGTCTCAGTGGTGAAAAGTTCCAATCAAAACTGAAAGGATTTTGCACAGAACTAAACATTTCTATTCTAAAAACAAGTAAATAATATAACTCAACATAGATTTCTTTCATCCAATACAAAAATCAATTAAAATTACTTGAAATAAATACAAACTTAGGTAAAATTTTCAATTCATGAGATTAAACCATAAACGAACTTATAACCAATTCCTCCCCATGAGGTTATACATCTACACATAAATCAATGTTAATTTTACAACTCATACACAACAACAACAAAAAAAAACAAAAAACAAAAAACTACTTTAAATTACTTCTAATTTGTCCAATGTTTAGAAGTAAAATCAATTTCCCTAAATAATAGTTAAACACCGATATCAAACAACATCTCATTGTTAAAAAAGAGAGCCAAAATCAATTTAGTACTTCCTATGGTAAAACCCAACACACAATGTTCACAAAATCAAAAGCAGTTTGTAAAGCCTTACGATGCAATAAGCATAGACGAAACACCCAGCAGCTGAAGCCTCGGTTTGCTCACAGCATTAAAAGACAAAACCCTATCGATATAGGAAACAGAGAGATGAAGAGTATCAGAGAGAAGCTTATACTCCTCTGCAACCTCTACTAACCAATCTACTAATATTCCTCTCATACTTATTGTAACCTCATTCTGAACCTTCTCAATGTAATCAACCCTAGGTCTTCGCTTCTTCTCCGTCTAAAGAACAATCAAACACCATAATAATTAGAACAACTTGAAAAACACAAAAGAAAAAAATAAGTTATAAAAAGTAACAAACAAGTTACCTCGAGAGTACGAAGATAATTGTAAATATCAGAAACAAAAGCACCATTGATGTTTGATTCTGCATCATTGTTGTCAACTGTTTTGCTTGCCGAGGAAATTTTCTTCTTGGTGACACGTGATCTTGTCACACATTTGGGTTGAGGATCGATGAGATTGGGGAAATTAGAAAGATCGGCCAATACAATCCGCTGTTTCTTAAGGGATTGATTAAGGGATTGGTTGGCTCTTCTCTTTGCGGCGGCGCGTGTCTCCATCTCCGCGACCGCGAGTGATGAGTCGGACAAGGCACGTAGAAACCAGATTTATAAAAGTGGAAAACGCCATCTCCGGTGTTTTAATTTCAATTATGAAAACCGTTTTGAATGGCGCAGCGGGCTTTGTTAAAACTTTTGGCCATTTTACCTTTTCATTCAAAATCATTTTGAGTGGAAATTTGTTGATTTTGTATGGCGGGGTTGGCGCGATCCTATTGCACCCAATGAACTTTTTTTGCGATCCTGCTCTAAAAATATTAAATTTAGTTGTTAATAATAAATTCAACAATATATGTTTGATTTATTATTTAAAAAATATTTAATAGATTTTCATGCATTTTAATACACAAAATAAAAAAATAATTCTTTTGTTCCATTTTATGAAAGTAAATTACATTGAAAATAACTTTTCACAAACGCAGCCTAACCTGCACCCAATTACAAAGAAAAAAACTCATAAAACTAATTATAGTGATTACACACGGTTTCGTCAACATTTCCCTTTTTTTATTTGATCAATGGTTGAGCAACAGTTTGAAAAGTTTATCCTTCTTCTACACTGATTAGTCTCCATTTATTATCATTACTTTTGTTTTAGAAGTCACATCATTGGCTGTCAAATTTTGCACATGATAGGCTCTCTTTATCAAAATTTGGGTGTGGTTCTAATAAAACAGGTAAGCTACGTAATTAGATTAATAATTCTTAAATTATTTTATTTTTGATTAATTGTTTAGACTAGTAAAATTAATTAAGCTGTTATTTAGGTTTTAAGAAATAAGATTTTTGTTTTTAGAATTAGCAACGCATTAATTTAAGAATTAGATTTAATTGTACATAATAAACATATTTAATATAAATATGTAATTTTTATTTTATTTACAACATTTTGTTATATTATGTGGAGATATATATTGATGACAATTTTTTGTCAATAAATGATAAAATATGAGTATAAAAATGTGAGTGTTTGATATTATACATTTGACAATGAGGATTTTGATGAGTTAGAGAGAGTGAAAATCAAAGACCATTTGTTATATATTGTCAAGGCAATGAAAAATGTTGGTAGAAAAAGTGTGAAACAAATCAAGTGATTCATCCTAAACTTAAACAAGTCTCTAATATTACTTATAATTTTATTTTACGAATGAAAACGTAGGACCTTCTCTTTAATCTAATTCAATTTTTGATTTATTATAATTATTTATGAATTAAATTTAATATTTTAAAATAAATTATTAATAAATAAAAATTTATTATATTACAATATAAATTATTTATCATAAGTGTTAAACATAATTTATATATTTAAATCTTAAATATAATTTATATATTAAATATAATATTTATTTATATTTATAATTTATTATAAATTTTAGTTATATATAATAAATATTATATATTAAACATAATATTTATATCACTAAAACTTATAATCAATAAATATTTTTATTAAAAAAAAGTTGTCACCAAAATGTATGTTTTCAAAATCTATTACAACCAATAATCCAACAATATATGGGAAATACATTCATTTTGTATTCAGTATATTTCTGTGATAAATGTTTATGCATGTGTCGTAGATTCATAATTAATTAATGCATTGTCTCTTCACCTTCTCCTAAATAATTAAGGTGTGATAAAAATGCATTATTTTTGTGTATCATTTTGGTTTAATTTACTTTACAAGTGTCATTATTGATGAATAATTTAATATTAATAAAATCAAGAATAATAATGATAAGAATTTTTTAGTTATAATATTTGTTTCTAAATATATTGATAATCAATATTGTCCATGTATATTGGTGAATGAAGAATTTTAATATTTGACGAGGATGGTATAAAAAATGAAATTGTAGTTGGTTAAGTTTGTGATAAATCTCTCAAAAAAATCATAAATTGTGAAAAAAATAATTCTAAATATGAGTCATATTATACTATAATGTAAAAATAATTTTAATCTAAATTTTTATGTCACACACCTTATCAAATATTATAATATTCTCAATGTAAGGTCAAGTTTCGTCATTAACATCAACAATATATTTGTAATAATATATATAACAAAAACATGGAAACAAAATGAATGGGATGTTACGATATATATAACAAAAACATGAAAACGAAATGAGTGAGAAACATCTCACTCTAACTCATGGTATGAAATACAAAATTGATCATCAAACACACTCAATACATTATTTATAGTAATAATATCAATATTGACATATAATTAACATTATCAAACACAAAAACTCATTCACAATACATTATATTATTAATCTCAATATACAATACAATCAAATGCAAATATCATGCATGTGGTATCAAACACAATATATGTGTAATATATAATAATTTGTCAATTTGTAATAATATATGTGAAATGAATGTTACAATAGATTTAATGACATGTCATATCTCAATATACATACTCAACAATTTGTCAATATTTCAACAACTTGGCAACATTATTCCATTTGCAACATTCATTCATCATAACATCACAATTTCATATTCAATTATCATACTTGATCATATTCATAAATTAACACAATAATCATTTCGTGGACAAGATAACCAACTCACACAACACAATATATCACACAAAAGTCACATGTTTACAATTCAAACACACATTTACACACTTTAACTCGATATACCTCAAGTTATTAATAATCAACTCATATTATAACTTATTCATAATTATTCTCTCTTGTAATTTCTTTCATAAGTATTGTCTAGGTACCTCAAATCATCTATAAGATCAAACACTTAAAAGGTAAAATTATTCATTATCATCATTCACAAACTATATTTTCACAACTTAATCTTTTAAGACATCATGTTGTCCAAACACTTTATTTAGAGTTATACATATGTTATCAAGTTGATCTTAATTATCTTATAAATATAAGACAGTTGTATACACTTTTTTTATTGTCCTAAAATACAAAATTGTAATGTTTTAACTTAATTATGATAGTCTGACATTTACTCGCCAATTTGATCACAACTTGAGTTTTAAATATATTTTTTAAGTGATTCCAACGACATTTGAAATAACTTATAAGGCTACAACTTTTATGAAGATTACAAAACCTAGTTCTTCCATTCAAGTCTACTAAAAAACTTATTTGCATGTTACATTTCACACACAAAATACGAGGTTCATATTTTAATTCACATAACTCGATCATTCTTTAACATTTTTATATGATTTTTAAGTTTAAACTATATTCCCAAGTGTCTAATCTCTAACCCAACAACTAAAACTCAATTTATTAATCATACATAGAGAAATCACATTAAATATCAAGGTATATTAATACCAATTTTTTTAGAACTAGACATAACTCACACTCAAACATTATTATCTCAATCCAATTGGTAAAAAATAGACTAAAGCCTAATTACTCTGTTATATCATCAATTACTTAAATCCAACCTTAATTTCACATATTCATACAACTAATATCAATGTTCACTTTACTCTATAATAAGGGTTTCCTACAAAAATCACAAACACTCATAAATTGTCAAACAATTCAAATTATATGAAATTTCACATATATATATATATATATAAATCTAATATCATACACAAAATTGTACTTATAAATTATCCTCATATAATTACCTAAATGCATCCCTCGGGTACCCAAATGTATCTCTCAGGGTTCACAAGAATCTACAAGCAACTCAAATCACAATTACAAGCAACTTAAATCACATCAATAAACATCAATACACAAAATTAGCCCGAGATAATCATAATTATAACAATTACAAGTGTAAAAAAAATATATAGAAGACTAAAATTGAATAATAAAAAACATTTGGGAAAAATCATTCATACAATGCATACATCAAACAGACATCAATACATAAAATTAGACAAGAATAATCATAATTACACCAATCATAAGAGTAAAAGAATCATAAGGAAAATTAAAATTCAAGAACACAATACATTTGAAAAAACCCTCTTTATATAACGCATACATTAAACAAAGGTTGGGGATTAATCTCACTAACTAACAATTATCCCACATCCTAAAGCTAAATTATTGACTCAAGTCACTCTCCCTTTATCTCGATCACTAAAATGCAAAGAACGTGAGTCTCTAAAATGATCTTCTCGCTCCATCCCTCTTATTCTTTTGAGTGTTTAGGGTTTAAGAAAAAAACTCTGGTTATATATATATTTCCTTCCATTATTAATAATATAAAACAATACATTATATCACGATTCTCGAATAATAACCAAAAAAATATAAGAATATAATTTTGATATCAAATTTTTTTATAATTAATTTTTTAAATTTTATAATAAAATATATACAATTAATTTAATTACGAAAAAGTTAAGTGTTACAAAATTTTCTAATTGATATTGTTATTTGAAGTAATGAATTTTAAACATTTTCTTAAATGAAATCATTATTATGAATTGTAAGTGCTAGTATAATTCATTAAAATATGAAAAGATGAATAGTGATGCAACTATATTCAGGGTCGTCAACTTGAGGCACTTCATCAACTCCTATAGGTCATATCTATGGACACTAGGTGAGATTTTGTTTTCTACTAGGAGTGTTTAAATTGCTAAACTAAACTAAACTAGAAGAAAATTAAACTAAACTATAATAAATAGTTCACTAAACTAAATTGAACTAAAATAAATATTGACTAAACTAAACTAAACTATTATCTAGATTAGTGCACTATAGTTCTAGGAGTTTGAACTAAACTATAATATCAATTAAATTAAATTATTTTTAATTATAAATTAAATTATTATTAATTATAAACTAAATTGAACTACATTAAAAAAAAATTAAAATCAACATTTTTAAATTAAACTACCAAATTATTGATATTAATTATAAATTAAATTTAAAATAATTACGCGTTTGTTTTAATTTATATATTCAGAGATTGAATCTTCGTCTTAAATATGAAATAGTATAAATTATATTCAGCGAAAAATATTTATCTCGAATATTCTGTAATGATTGTCCATTTAAAATAATTATGTAAACTAAATAAATATTTAACTGAAAATGAATTACTGCAAAAGAAGAAGAAAAAAAAGAAATTCCGTTATTGATTGGATCTCAAAAAACTACAAGAAGCGAGAACAAGGAGTAAATGAGAAAGCAAACGTAGGCAACAAAGCGGCGGTGTTCGTCTCAGCGCGCGACCTATCCGAGGAGCTTGGTGCAGACCCTGGTGACTCTTCGGTTCTCCGTAAATGTGCTTCTTGTATTTAGTTTCTTGTATTTAGTTTTAGTAAACTGAACTATTAATTTTAATAGTTTAGCTTTATAAACTACACTAAAAATAATAGTTTGTTTAAACTATTAAAAAATAATTTAGTTTATTTTAGTTTAGTTTAGTTTAGTTATTTAAAAAATTTAATTTTAAATAATTTTGTGAACAGCCCTATTTTCTACCATCCTTGAGACATAACATTTACCAAAAACACTAAATTACTCTTAAATTTCAATATTTGTTTTGTCAATGGATGTTTTTTTTAGTTAGGACATCTGGTAATATTTGTAGGTGGCAGGAAACATTTAAATCTAGTTGCTATTGACAAATTGGAGGAAATAATTGATCCAACTGTTGGAGTTAAGATAGAAGAAAACAAATGAACAAAATGTTAGCTTCAGGATCTTGAATTTCATAGATATTAGATAGGATGAGGTACACGCGGAGAGTAGAGAACCAGGATTGAAGTTCACAACTAACAATTTCAACAACCTTGACTTAACACTCAATCAACCAAGCATGTAGAGTTCTTCTATTGCCTTGTGAATATAAAAACTATTAATTGAAGTTGTGACCATTTTGAACATAAATATTTATTCTCTTATTTTCAATGTTAAATTTTAATATTTATGTATATCTCTCTCACCTTTTTGTTATTCATACTAAAAATAATAATAATAAATTACTCTATTTGATATTGCAAGTACTTCATTCTTTTAAGTATTTGCTGATCGAATACTTATGGCTACACAGTGTAAGAAAGAGAAAAATGAAAATAAAAAAAAATTCCCGGCAAGTGTAATTATTAATTCAAATTTTTTGTAGGATTTTTCTATTTCTAATTTTATTTTTATTTTTTATTTTATATATACTTTTTATTTCTATTAAAACTTCATTTTCGTTTGCATGTTCTTTTGTTATGCAATTGAATTTTTTACGTGCTATTTTTTAGTTACTTTCATATTTCCTCCTATCTAAAATTTTCGTTCATTTTGTAAATTAATTTTCTGACTCATTTTATTCATATAATCATTCACACAATTTTTATATAATAATATGCATGCACATGAAATACAAGTGATGAAATTAGTTATACGCGTATTTATTAAACTGTTATTCACTTATTTTCAAATAGAAATTGTTATTCACTTATTTGCAAATAGAAATTTATAAATATTATTTAATTAATTCTCACTCCCTTCCCTTCCCTTCTTTTCAAACACTACAACTTCGTATCTATAAAATTCACTTTAATTTTATAAATTATATTTTAAATTATTATACATAAATATTTTAAATACATAAATTATATTTTATAACAAATTTTTTTATTAATATTTTTTAAATCATTAATATTTAATACATAAATAATTATAATAAATCTATACTAATATATAAAGGGGATATCTCTTTCGATAATCACCTTAGTTTCCACTTTTTTTTACCATTATACCTTTTTATTTTAAAAAATTAGAAAAAATATTTTTTAATTAAATTTAAGAACTTAAAACTAATAAATTTATACTAATACTAATATATAACATGAATACTACTTTCAATAACTACTTTTTATTTTTATTTTTACATGAACCATTTTATCTTTTATTTATTTTTTAATAACTACTTTTTTCATGAATATTTTTTTATTTTTATTTATTTTTTCTTTTAATATAATGCAGGCACGAAGTATTTTTTTTTCTGCTAGTAAAAAATAAAAGATTTAAAAGTTTTTGATAAATCTTTTTGTTGAGATATATGGAAAAAAAGTGATTTTGATCGGTGAGAATGGCGGAATAGAAGCGCGCCTTCCCGCGTGTTTTAATCCTAAACATGTGCATTTGGAATCAAAGCCAAATCCCGAAAATTTTAAAGATACACCAAACATTTTAATTTTAATTTTCAAAATCCCTCTCTTTTTTTCTATCTTTTACCTTGTATATATAAAAACATGACAACATCCTCTATAGCTCACCACTCTCAATCTCTTTGTTGTTTCTGTTTCACATACAAAGAAGCAGATGGAGACTCGCGCTGCTGCCGCAAAGAGAAAGGCAAACACGGTCATTGTGGAAAAACAACATCCCAAAAGGCATAGGGTTGTGTTAGCTGATCTCTCTAATTTACCAAACTCTTTTGTCCCTACCAATGTGCATTCGCCAAGCAGAGAGAAACCCCAATGTTTGAAGAATCCAACCCCTACAAAGAATGTTCTTTCTCTCACCCAGATTGATGAGCCTTATGTTAACGATATTCATGAGTATCTTCGTGCAATGGAGGTAACTTTTTTTTCCTCAATTTTTAATTTTGTCCAAGCCAGCAATATTCTCTTTTAATTTGAGGGGTTTGGGTGTCGTAATTTTAATTTTTTCTTCTTTCTCAGATGCAGAGAAAGAGGAGACCAACAACTGATTACATTGATAAGGTTCAGAAAGGAGTTACAACAACCATGAGAGCAGTGTTAGTGGATTGGTTAGTTGAGGTTGCAGAGGAGTACAAACTTCTCTCAGATACTCTTCATCTCTCTGTTTCATATATTGATAGGTTTTTATCTGTTAATCCTGTGACTAGATCCACACTTCAGTTGCTGGGTGTTTCGTCAATGCTTATTGCTTCGTAAGACCTTTTTACCTATTTTTTTATAATAAGTTTTTAATTTTTTTTTTAATATACTTGAACATGACAGTTTCAATTTTTTTTAATATGTAGTAAATATGAGGAGATTGATCCACCATCTGTGGATAAATTCTGTACTATTACTGATAACACTTATGATAAGGCAGAGGTAACTAACTATGTTATTATTCTTTTTTTCTTTCCTTTTACCAAATTATTTCATTGTTATGTGTCGTTTATTTTTTTCTCTCGCTTTGTTTTCCATGTTTATGATTATAGGTTGTGAAGATGGAGGCTGAAATACTCAAATCCTTAAATTTTGAAATGGGAAATCCTACTGTAAACACTTTTTTAAGGTAAGGATTGTATTTTGTGAATGGGAATATTTGGCCTGCCTTGAAATTAAATTAACCGAGTGTTGTCATTTTTTTCAGGAGTTTTACTGATGTTACTTCTGAAAATCAAAATGTAAGTTAATTTGCTCTTGTTTTTCCTTCTCAATTGTCTATTTAAAGATTTTATTATATTGTTTACTAATTGTATTTTTTATTTTATTTTCAATTTTTGAATTTGCAGTTTAAATTTTTGAGCTGTTATCTTGCTGAGTTAAGTTTGTTGGATTATGATTGTTTAAGATTCTTGCCTTCTGCTGTGGCTGCATCTGTCATATTTCTGGCTAGATTTATTATCTCGCCAAAAGTGCATCCTTGGGTAAGTTGTGGATAGTATATATATATATATATAAAAGAATAGTGTATTATTTGTATTTTGAGACACTCAAAGGTGAAAATTACTGCAGACTGTTTCTTTGCGTGAATGCTTGGGTTACAAATCACTTGAGTTGAAAGAGTG